TTCAAACCCACCAGCCACTCCTCGGAAGGAAGGTTGGGCAATCCTACTTCCGTAGTGATACTGCCTCGGAAACCCAAGGAGGGGTCGCTATGAGTCAAGGCTGACTCGACGGCACATAACAACAACAACAAATGTTGTTAGGTGCTGTCTAGTCAACTTTTACTCATAGCAACCCTGTATGTAACAGAATGACATGCTGCCCATCCCGTGCGAACACCATAATCCTTGCTATACTTGAGCCCATCGTCATAGCCACTGTGTCAATCCATCTCGTTGAGGGCCTTCCCCTCTTTCATTGACCCTCCACCTTACCAAGCATGACATCCTTCTCCAAGGAGTGGACCCTGCTGACACAACCAAAGTAGATGAGACAAAGTCTGGCCATTCCAGCTTCCAAGAAGCATTCCGGGTGCATTTCCTCCAGGACAGACTTGTTAGTTCTTTTAGCAGTCCATGCTACTTTCCGCATTCTTCGCCAGCACCACAATTCAACAACATCAATTTTTCTTTGGTCTTCCTTATTCATTGTCCAGCTCTCACATGTATATGAGGTGACTGAAAATATCATGGCTTGTGTCATGGGCACCTAAGTCCTCAAGAAGACATCTTTGCTCTTCAGCCCTTGATAGAGGTCCTTTGTAGCCAACTTGCCCAGTAATATATGTCATCTGATGTCCTGGCTGCTGCTTCCACTGACATCGACTGTAGAACCAAGCAATGTGAAGTCTTTGACAACTTCAATCTTTTCTCCATTTATTGTGATGCTGCTTATACATCCAGTTGTGAGGATTTTAGTTTTCTTTATATTGAGATGTAATCCATACTGCAGAATGTATTCTTCAATCTTCATCAGTAAATGCTTCTCAAGTCATCCTCACTTTCAGCAAGCAAAGTTGTGTCATCAGCACATCGCAGGTTGTTAATGATTATTCCACCAATCTTGATGCCATGTTCTTCTTCATATAGTTCAGCTTCTTGGATTATTTGCTCAACATACAGATTGAATAAGTATGGTGAAAGGATACAACCCTGATGCACTCCCTTCTTGATTTTAAAACATGAGGTATCCCCTTGTTCTGTTTGAACGACAGCCTCCTGGTCAGTGTACAGGCTCCTCATGAGTACAATTAAGTGTTCTGGGATTCCCATTCTTCTCAATGTTATCCATAATTTGT